TGTCTTGACACCGTCGGGAAGCTTCTCACACATCCCCTCGGCTATAATCCTAGCTTTCCCGTCGTAATTCGCCGTTTCAAGTTCAGAAAGAAGGAAGACCGAGGGAACTCGAACGGCGCCCTGACGCCTCTCTGCAGTCATTATTTTATGCATACTCCTCATTCTGATAGATCAAGCAACGCGGGTAATGCGAATAATAAAGTAGCATTAGCGAATCGCGCGCAAGTGGCTTAAGGTAGTTCCCGAGAGCGGATCTTTAGATTTCCAAAGGCACGGTGAGGGCGGCTAATGTAAAAATTGTTTTCACCTTACCCTCGCTCGTAATTGCGTTTACCCCCATCAGGTCCGAATGGCGCCTGGCTTGAATGGCGCTCGCTAATTCGCCGGTAAAACCGGTGAGAGAGTCCGAGGTGCTTGGAAAAATGATGAAAAAGACGAACCGTAGGAACGCAGCGGAGCTGCGAACGAGAGACACGTGGATATAAAGTTGAGCAAGAAAATGCGAGAGAGACACATGGATATAAAGCGAAGCTACGGAGAAGAAAAATAAGAAAGAGAGAGAGAGAGAGAGAGAGAGAGGTAAAGAGGAAGGAAAGGGGAAGAAACATGCGGCTTTGAAATTACCTGCCAACTCGAGTCTGAAATTTCATCGAGTACGAATCAACAGCTGGATCTCTCGCGATGTGCTAGAAACGTGTACCTACTTTCTGGATAAACCTCCTATCTCCCTTAATCCTGCTACGTTCTCTTTCTTTCTCTTTCATCCCCCTCTCCTCCCTTTCTTTCCTCGACTCTCTCGTTCGGGCTCTTGCGCTAAACTTTCGTAGCGGTGCCAACAAACAATCTCGGATGCTTTGAGAAAGTTATCGCGCGTTCCTCACGACGCTGTCATGCTTTTTCCACTCGCTCCGATAACCGCTAGTTTACGGACTCCCCTCGCACCGAATTCGTCTGATCATCGAGTGTTCCTCGCAAGAATCCGCGAGACTTTGAGATTCCCCGCGATAGAGAGTGCAGTTTGCAGCTGGAGCGACTTCCACTGTTGATACCGCGTTAATTGAATATTATCGTCGACCACCACCGGTTAGACAGCGAAATCCTCGGTGTCGCGAGCACTGTCGCGCAATTAATGCAAATTGCAACTTAAAAAGAGATTCATAGGATTCCCTGAATCTTAAGATCCCGATTCTGGAATTCTCGATTTCTTCGTCGAGAGAAGTAAGTTCGCAAGGTTAAGTAACAAGTTCGCGAGGGCGCCAATCGAAACCTCGTTCTCGTCGCCTTTACCCACATCACGGCGGAAGTTACGCCGAGAAGAGGTAACGATCTCTTGTGACAACGATAAAACATAAACACAGAGTTGCAGGATAATAGTAAGATTGAATTAATCAGGATTAGGGGGAACCGAGTGACTGCGATCGATGCGCGACGGCGGTTAGGCAGCCGCGAATCGAGAGACCGCGGCTGTCTCGAACGAGATATTCCCGAGACGAATACGCGCTTATCCTGACCTATTAGCTTATCGCGACAGAACAGTGGCGCAGTATTTGAAGAGAAGAGAGAGAGAGAGAGAGAAAGAGAGAGCCGGCAGTGCGAAATATTGTCGACGGTAATACGATTCCGACGGTCGCCGCCGCCGCCGTCATTTCCCCTTTTGTTTTCGCGGAACTTTTCTCGAGGGACGTAAATTGATTTGTCGGCGTAAGAACTCTATGTCCGACAGCGCCTTTACTACGAGATAAACGTCAACGTTGCCACGCGGGAACCACGTCGTTTATACTTCGTGACTTCCTCCACGTGATCGTGGCCGGCGCGCTTGCTTGCTTGCTCGCGCCTGCCTCCCTTCTTCCCTTTCTTACCTTCCTTACTACTTCTAGTTTCGGTTCCTTCTGGGTCTCGAGGAGACGCGTTTGTACTTCCACGCTGCTGGAAAAATCTCTGGACGTGTTACTGCCGGTAATAAAATTTCGCTCGACGTACCGGGGTACTGCTTGACCTTTTACCTCATACTCGGTCGTCGGACCTTCCGATCCGATGATCTTCGGCCAGCCTGAATTTTCACAACGGAAATCGCCGAGTAGATACACACCGCTCGTAGTCGGACGCATTTCTCGATCGGCCTCACAGCGAGAACGCGAACCGAGCGTGTTATGTGCAAAATGGTAGAGAGGATTTTTTTCGTTCACCTCAATCCATTCTACGCCCCGACTAAGTTTGTTCAAGGATAGAACACTTTATAAGTATATAACGCGAGAAGGAAGATATAATTCGAAACTTACATCGCGTAATGGAGCAGTAATTGAGAAAGCCCGGCGTCAGAATAGCACTCATCCCTCCTGATATATCACATTTATTAACTCCGACGGGGATTTATTTGAAAGAATTACCCAACTAACGAAAGATAAATGCGATCTATTTCCAACTGGAGCGAGGAGGTTACTTCGCAAGAATGAAATTCGCGCGATTAATACAAACTAATGAAAAAAAAGCCGGCTCCGTCGAGCGAACGAGCGACTTCCTTCTTCTCCTCCTTCGCGGTTGGAATTCTCGGCTGGGGACAATTTTTTTTTATTTACACCACTATCGACTCGTATCGCTCCCGAATTTATAGCGTCCTTTAACGCTTTCACTATCTTCGAAGCTGTTCGGTAGATCTACGTGAGAGACATTGCTTACCCACTTCCTCACGGTTGCCGGCGCGAAGTTTTATCACGCCCGCGAAAGGTATTTTCTGCAAAGTTTTCGGCTACCACACGGATTTCTCCCGCATCGGGGTAACGCGCGGGGCGCGCGATGCCTTTCTATCGGCAGTAGCGTTTATCTTTCCCGCCGTTGCTCCGCACGACGTACATTCTTCTCTCATTCGATCCCACACATAGTTCCATCGCGATCGCTCGCGTTAAATATTTAACGCCCGTAACGTAAGGATGGGATTAAGTATACGTTACACACGATACCGATCCGTAGCGTGTGTCTGGCCTCTCTTTTTTACGAATACTTGGAAAAATACAACGGCCTCCAAATGTAATCGAAACTTCCCGCGCTACAATCGAGAGAGAGAGAGAGAGAGAGCAGCCACGTGGATGTGTAAATTTTAGATTTCTGTTTTCCATTAACAAATAAACCCGCTGGAGTAGCGCGCGCAAGACGTGAAACGCGAAAATTGGATTTTCCCATCTAATAGGTACGCGAAATTTCCTCGACAACTTATTATCCGCGACATTATTACATTATTAAAAATTAGCGAGGTATCGCGTGTTATTATTTCGCAAATTCATCTCGGGGCAAGAAAAACTGACTCGCGGCGTACAAAAGTTCTTAGTTTCGTTACGGGAGCAAGGAGTTGTCATAGTGAACGTATCCGCAGTGTACTTTCCATAAGCTCGAATGGCAAAAGAAGTGTTCCAATTTTCTGCCTCGTGAACACCCAAAGACTCGCTTCTCCGCCGCATAATTCTTAAACTCGTTGCACCAACCTACTATGGACCAGCTCACGGTCGGTGAGATATAGCGCACATATATATCTCGTTATAAATGGAATAAGCACGTATATTTGCCCGCTCGTTTAAGTGCGCGTATATATTTCTTTATATATACGACCGAAGTGCCAGCCGGATCGTTCTATATAAAATCGATTTCCATATTTACCCGCTGGATAGACGGGCGAAATTAGTTTAAAAAATTTAAAGGCTCGGTTTCTTAAGATGTAATTGAATTCAAGTACCGTGCGATAATTAAGGTAACGTAATAATGCAGATGGATCCACTAATAGTAATTTCGAAATCATTTTAAGAAGAAGAAATATCGTTTTTCGGTACGTTCGTCGGTATCGATTACACCAGTCTCACTTTATTTCGGTAAGCCTCGCTCGCGTAACTCTCATTTTTCCTCTGTTTGAGAAATTCCCCATTGCGTTTGGGAGTCGACACGGCAAAAGAAAGAGACCGTTAACGCAATGTCATTTCTGCTCGTACGGCAGCCTGACAGAATGTAAAATAGTACAAAATCTTTTCAACGCGGTTCGCATGACCGCCTCGCCAGCGCGCTAACGCTAGAGAGAGAGAAAGAGAGAGAGAGAAAGAGAGCCATTTCGTGCAAAATATTAATACAACTGTGTGAACGCGTTTAATTATACCGGAGATATATCCTATGCGTGCGTGTCGACGGGTTTTTAATTTTTAAACCGTACCGTACTTTTACCGTACAACTCTCGAACTGATTAATCTTTTCTCCCCCGTGGTGGCGCACGGCTTCAAGTGGAGTATAATGAACGAGCGAGCTTTAAGATAATAAAAGAGAAAGAGAGGGAGGGAAAAAAAGGACGTACGCGAGCGTAAGAGCCCGTTCAAAGTCGCGAGCAGTGGCAAACCCGTAAGCAAAAAGAAAACAGCTTTTACGCCCGGTAATCACGCGCGATCTGCGACCGCCATTTGTAACGACATAACTACGCTGGCACGATTCACTGCTCTAAAAACGAAATGACTCGTAAAGTCGATGTCCCGTCCGCCAGCCCCCGCCTTACCGTAATGGAACGAATTATTATGCCTCCCGAATAAACGCTGTCAAATAGCGCGGAAGAATCACGGCGAGTCCGTTTCACTCGTCTGTCTCCCTCTCTCTCTCTCTCTCTCTCTTGTTCTCTTTCTATCTCTCCATCTCTCTTCGCCACTTCGCGCTCAGCGGACGCATCGCTCCGATTGTATCATTCTTCATTCAGTTTTAACACAATTTATCTTCATTTACGGTATTTCCAAACCTTCATCATCCCGTCTCTCCATGGCAGGCCCATATAGTAACCGGCGGCGAAAATACGCTTGTAAAAAAGCGGTTTCGAGAACAGAAACGCGCGCATGGATCCCCGTCGAGCGATACCCGCTAATTTACCGGTCGACGCTCCCCCCGTCTCGTTTCAACCCCCTCCTCAATGGTTGGCTCGCGACGCGTTGTTGTGCGACGCATCCGCTGCTCTCGATGAATCGCGCGTGCTCTTGCTGTTTCAGCATCGAAAGTCGGATCGTGGGAAGGTGGTGCTGCAGGACGCGAATCTCCACACCAGCGGCAAATACAAGTGCGAAGTTAGCGCGGAGGCGCCCAACTTCCACTCAGTTAACGGCGAGGCGAGCATGGAGGTCATAGGTGAGTGGACCGGTGTCGCGTTTAATTAATAATGCTTCGGATGCAGCCGGCGCGCCGGCCTTCCTTCTCCACCCTTTGGTAACTCGACTAAAGACTACGAGACGCGGTTGAGTTCGGCAGCGCGCCGGCAAGGAAGAACAGAGAGGAGAGAAAGAGAGAGAGAGAGGGGGCCGTCACGTTCTCACGAAGAAACGAGCGTTCGCGAGCGAGCCTAAGACACACCGGCCATACTTCGGTAATGTTCCACCGGTCCTTGGCCGATGACGAGTGGAGGCACTTCTGGCCTCGAGAATCTCGACGCGGCGCGTTTACACGTCCGTCTGGTTACGACGGAGCGATCAAGTTGGCGAAATTAACGGCAACTCCGTCGAAGCGGCGAATATCGGATTGCAATAGCGTGTAAGTTTGCAAATGCCACCGCGAGACCCGATATTGCTCGCAAGACAATCTAACTGTCGGAGAATGCGGCAATTATCGGACGTCGGGTTCGTTTTGTCGCCGCACCGCGCGACAGGGACGAGTGAATGGCGAAGGGGATGTAAGGTGCAACTGGTAGCTCTCTCTTATGATTGAGGGAAACGCGATATCGACCGCGGAAATAGCTGAGGATGACCGAGAACAAGAAGAGAGTAGCGGCGAGATCGGGCGGCACGATTTCAAATTTCCACGCTAATTGGTTTTTTCGGGAGCGCCGAAAAAATTTCAGAGAAAATTCATGTGAATTAAGCCAGTACTTTGATATTCGAATCTCTCTCTCTCTCTCTCTCTCTCTCTATCTATCTATCTATCTACCTCTTTCTCTCTCTTTTCTCTTTATAACTATCTCTATCTCTCTGCGCTCTACAAATTTTTTTCCGTAACATAAATTTCTCGCGCAAAGTTATCTCTAGAAGTTTAATATAATAAAACTACTAAGATCGTTTTTAAAGTCATTTAAATGGCTTACGCGTCGCATTCGCGGTGAACTCGTGTAACCATAATTTAATGAGAAGTGTAATGTTGAAAAAGACATCGGTGTCAATTTCGAAAGCTTTCCGCTGTGTTTAATTAATTCTCCCTTTTAATTTAAAAGCTACGCTGGTCGCGTATTTCAGCGCTTTTTCATTATATCGAAACGAATAAAAAAATAACCATATAATCGCTTCATTGATTAGATGGACATGCGGATAATCGTTTGGTCCACTGACCAGTCCGAGCGAATAAACGAATAACAGTTTGATTGATTAATCGTTCGGCTCTTTATTTGATTGCACCATCGAACGAGGCGCGTGTCCACGCGGAGTTACAAATTCATCAATAATCCGCACATGAAAACGTCATCCGCTTTTCCCCCCCCCCTCCAGAAATTTTCCCCGCTATTCTTTCGTTATTCGATCCCTGCCAGTTTCTGGACACTTATCAATTTGCGCAGTACAGCGGGCAAAGTCGCAGCACGAACGTCGATATGTGGATAACGAGAGACAACGAGAAATGCGAAGTAATAAATAAGGGACAGACGGGAGAGACAGAGAGATGGATACAGACAGAGCGAGAGGATGCCGATAACGACGCATAGTCGCGAAGATTAACATTTCCGTCCGTTAACATTAACGTCGTCTGACACAATTCCGACGCGACGGTTTCCACCATCGACCGATCATCAATTCTTAGTCCGTATCGGCCGTGCGCGTGCGGTGTTCTTACGAACATCAAAGGAAGCGTATCTAATTATGTCGAGCATACGGCGGGCATCCGTAGCAATAGGATTACCGTAAGGTCAAAGTGGCCGATACCACGATACATAGCTGCTGCTGCGAGCGTGATATTAACTCACCTCAACATTAAGCGGGTCGACAACGGAGATAGGCACGCTTACGTGGGACTCGTCCGCTATCGGGACACGTAATCGCCTTATAATTATTACCGTGCGATAGTGTCCGGTCAGAAACGCCGGCTGCGAGCGTACAATTCGATGAATTTTACGATTTTTTCCCAGAGAGCGTCGCTCGATCGACGCGACGCGCCGAATTAAGCGCATTTATTCTTCGGTTAATTCCTCAAACAGCCAGCCGTTCGCGCGGAAGTCACGTTACGCTGCGCGAAACAAAATAATTTCGTGCGTGTCGTTTTAATTTGATAAAAGGGAGACATTTAAAAAACGCGACAGCGCACAGTTGTAACTCGTGCGCCGGTTAAAATGCAGTTAATAGAGTTTGATAATTTCATATTTTGATTTGCCGAGAGAGCGGGAAGTTTTCAAACAAGTCGTGTAATACGAGCTCGCGGGAATACAGAGTCGCGCCCGCAAGGGTGGCCTCTCTCTTCGTTTTTTTCTTTTTTTTTTTTTTACGTAATGTGCAACTGTCAATTTTTACTGAACTCTCAATTACGGATACGCAGTGGTGAGCGCAAAGGGATTAATCGCGCGGGATCGGCAACGCACGTCCGGCCTCCTCCCGACTCTCCTCCGAAGCGGACGTAAAACCCGGTAACTCCGCGGAGAACTCGGCACGAAGCGGACTTTACGAAAGAACGCGCAGTATTTCTCGTCTTATCCGCATCCCCCGTCGTCGGTATCTCAAAGGAATGGAAAAGAAGGAGGGGGGCAAGGAGAGACGCGAGCGCCCTTGCTCGCGTTTCCGCGGAGAGCACGAAATTCGCCTGGGCGGCGAACGGGCGTTAAAGTTTAAGGGTGCATAAAGACGTCGAAACGCGATAAATATTACGGCGTCGTAAGTCTTAAGCCGTAACTGGGCGCCGTCGCCGCCGCCGTGGGCCACGCCAAAGGGAGAAGACGGGGAAAAAGAGAAAGAGGCCCGACGAAATGCTGGCAGAAACGCGAGAGAGACGACCGAGCGCCGCCGGTGCGCGGGGATGGCGGGCGGTCGTAGGGGAAGAGGGGACGGAAACCGGGGAATTTTAAGACCGTTGTAGGGGCCTCGAGGAGGCTGTCGTCGTGCCAAGTTTCTCCGAGCTGTCGGCTTTTCGTCTTCCACTGCATCCTCGCGACGAAATTTTCTCCCTTGCGTTTTCTGGCCCGCACGGGGGGGATCGATAACCCCGCGCGCTCCTTCCCCGACGACGCTTCCGCGACGTTGAGACTTTCAGCGAACGAGTACGCCGCGCGGAACGTTTGTCGGCGGACGAGTAATACTCGAGTCCTCGTCCGCACTCGATAAGCCGACTAATTTAGCACGTCCATTAGTCGACTCACGAACTATACGCGGTGTTCACGTGGCAGATAGTATTAATTTGGCCGTGTGGATTTCCGGGGTAACGTCAGTAACGTTCGATCAAGTCGAAGAGCTCGCTATTGTAAGACTCCGGAATCGTTACGTTGAATATTCCGAACGAAGTGTCACGATGAGTTTAGAAGCTCGTCCCGAGAGGATGCACTTTTATCGCGACGGTATCTTCGAGAACGATTCTGTGATAAGAGCTATTCTGCTATCTCGGATTAATCCTCAGTTTCAACGGAGCAACGACCGAGAGCGGCGAGACGAAGCTGCGGTCGAGAAATCGCGCGTGTTTCACATATATGTATTTCCTACATTCATAATGGCATCAAAATTTAATGATTATTTAAATATGCATACATCGCCATCATTAATCGCGTAATTCATAACTCATAAGCGCGACCAATATATCCACGTGCCTGTCCGTGATTAATATTTGTTACATTAAAATATGATTAGGAGAATTAACGTTTGATTGAGTTTCTATCGATTTAGGGGGGAAATTAGAGTTTTTTGCGAAAAGTCGCGCGAAAAACACGGAAAATTCTTTCTGCTCTCGGGATTCGTTCGCGAACTTCTCCGGACATGATGGCGGCGAAACAAAAACGCGCATATTGCCAGGCACGGAATTCGGGCATTACATATCCTAAATCCGTCACTAAAAGTGGCATAGAGAGAGAGAGAGAGAAAGAGAGTACTTTGAAATTAATTTAAATTTAAATTTAATGCGCAACTTAAATTAACTTTAGAATCAGCTCAAAAGTTGAAATTAACCGTGAGAGGGTGAGCGTGCGTCTATTTTCCGCTACGCCGCATAATATCCATACTGTCTGACGCGCGGGAACATGCACGCGTCAAACAAACGTATGCGTACAGAGAGCCCCTCGCGCCTGTCGTCGTAAATTTCACGAGCATATCGCGAGAGGGCCGCGTTTAATCCCCGATGCATTCTTATGGGGCTCACTTTGCCAGCTTCGACTATTAATCGCGTCTATGCGACGGCGTAACGGCGGCGTACGGCCGCTTCATTACGGAGAACATTAACGTGGGCCGGCACGTATACACCAAAATTTAAAATGCACGAGATCTAAAGCTCGGTTAATAAACGCGTTTAGTGGCGGTAAAATTTCTTGTTAATGGCACGCCCGGCTTTATATACATCTTGCCGCGCAAAGTTCTCCCGCAAAGCAACGAAGTTGCCTTTTACGTCGCCGAAACAATGTGGGATTTAGTATTTAGACGCCTCCGACACAAAGAGGACCGAGATAAACTGGGTTGTCTTAAAAATCAACCTTCCTCTTTTCTCCTTTTCTTTCTTTATCTCTCTCTCTCTCTCTCTCTCTCTCTCTCTATCGCGTAGAGTCAGTTTGCTCGAGTGCTGAAAACGTTGTTTGCGGATAATTATAATTCGTAATACTCGAAAATATACAGAATGTATCCAAACTCCACCGGCAAACTCACAGGGCAGATTTGATGTTGAAAAATAAATATTTTATATAGAATTCATCCTGTGAGTTTGTCGACGAAGTTCAGACACACCCTGTAGATCCGCACCCTTCGTCGAACTAAAATATATCTTCGTTGATTGCGATAATATGTACGATGTGTAAAATACTTTCTTGAGCGTAACGTCGTTCGAGCGAACAATACAAACTCCCTTACAACGGCGAGTGTAAACCGCGGCTAATCATTTCCTCCCGATATGTCGCAGCCCTGCCGCTGGAGATGCCGACGATAACCGGCGAGGAGAAGGTGTACGCGAGCGGGGACGTGCTCGCGCTGAATTGCACCAGCAGCAAGTCTCATCCTGCCGCGCGGCTAAAATGGTTCGTTAATGGCCAGCAGGTGAGCGACCACTTTTAGACATTCTTTAAGAACCACTTGTCGCAGCATCGGGGAAGCGGCAAAGCGGAAGACATTAAACCACCGTCGCCGTCGGTGTGGTGGCAAATATTCAACGCCCGTTACTGACACGTTGCTAATGCGGACGCGTCTCAACGCAAGAGCGCGAATGCATCAGACGAATGAAACATTTAGGACGAGAAAAAGATAAAACGGTCTCGCGATCGATGCCGCATTATTACCGTAACGTACGTAAGATCGAGGCACTCGTAGCAACACTCGTTCACTGACACGCGGTTCATCAAGTTTTCAGGAAATCCACGGAACGTACACACGGTATCGAGAGCATACAGCTCGGTGCAGCGCACGTAAGCGGCGCTGGGAGCTTGCGCGACCACGTAGCGTTGGGGTCAGGGTAACGTTATAGAGGAATTGGCGTGCGCGCAAGAGAGAGAGAGAGAGCCGACGAACCAGCGAGGGTGGCTGAGCCAACGGGGATGGAAGAGAGGCAGGGCGAACGGCAAGCCGGTTTCACAGTAAGCCGACTGAGAGTTCGGCCGCGTCGCAACGACGCGGCTCGATTTCATCGCAAGCAACGGCAACGCTTGATGAGCCAAAGCTCCAATTAACGGCCGACGAAACGGATCCCCGTTGGAGCTGTACCGACCGGCCACCACCATCCCGGTGGCCCGGTGTTCAGCACCGGAAGCCTTCTAATGCGCGCCACGGATCGCTGATGCGCCGTGGTTTCGCTCTTCTCCTCCTCCACCCCCGCGCTCTCGCGCGTTCCTCATCCTCGGATACAGAACTTGCGCAGACCCTCGCGGTGAATATCGCGAGCATGTCGGCCGAGAGGTCGAAAGCTCGGGAAAAACAGCCGTTGATGGCCGTGAGCGACGGAGAATTTCAGATCAATTTGCAGAAGAACCATCGACCGGAGATTCACGCACGACAAAAGAGAGAGAGAGAGAGAGAGAGAACTCTCCGTGTATATCGTTATCTCTCGTCGCGCACTTATCCCGACGAATCCGGAAGCCGAGCTTATTTCTTCCTTACAGCGGCGCGCGTCCAGGGAGTTTCGCTTCGTGTTTTGAAATCTAGCACACGCCTCGCCGCTCCCTCGCTCGTCGTCGCTGTCTGTTTTTCGCAGGAGGAACGAACACGCGATGAATCGGGGGGGGGG